ATAAGTACGTTGTCTGTTCAAGTTCTAAGGTCTCCGATTTTTTTTCTCACAGAATAATCATACAAAAAATTTGAAACGTCTGTCACTTTTCAACCTAGTCTCCCTGCAGCCGTACACATTTTTCACAACGTCCACGCCATGATTCCATGGCCGCTGCGAACGCCTCTGTAGGAGTCTGTTTTGACCACTGGAAAATCGCTGATGCAATAGTGGCATGACTGGTGAATGTGCGACCACGGAGAGTGTCTTTCATCGTTGGGAAAAGCCAAAAATCGCTAGGAGCCAGGTCAGGTGAGTAGGGAGCATGACCAACCACTTCAAGGTTGTTTTCACGAAGAAACTGCTGCATCGCATATGCCCAATGCGCTGGTGCATTGTCCTGGTGAAAGAGCACACGTGCAGTCTTTTCTGGCCGTTTTTCTCGCAGTGCTGGATGGAGCATGTTCTTCAAAACATCTTGGTAAGATGCACCTGTCACCGTAGTGCCCTTTGGAACACAATGAGTAAGGATTATGCCATCGCTCTCCCGAAACACGGCCACCATCATTTTTCCAGCACTGGCGCTTACCCGAAATTGTTTGGTGGCGGTGAGTCTGTGCGCTTCCATTGAGCTGACTGGCGCTTCGTTTCAGGATTGAAAAAACGGCATCCATGTCTCATCCATTGTCACAATTGATGAAAAGAAAGTCCCATTCATGCCTTCATCACGTGTCAACATCACCTGGCAAATTGCTATGCGCGCAGCCGTGTGGTCGTCCGCCAGCATTCGTGGCACCCACCTGGAGGACACTTTCCACATTCGCAGGTCTTCATGCAGGATTGTGTGCACAAATCCCACAGAAATGCCAACTTTGGAGGCAATGTTTTCCACACTCAATCGGTGATCCTCCAAAACAACTTTCTCAACTTGCTCGACCATGTTGTCTGACCGGCTGGTGTGATTCCGAGATTGTTTTGGTTCATTGTCACATGAAGTTCGGCCTTCTTTGAACTGTCGCACCCACGAACGCACATTTTTCACATTCATGACACCATCACCACACGTCTCACTCAACTGGCGATGAATTTCAATGGGTGTCGCACCACGCAAGTGGAGAAAACGAATGATTGTAATTCTTGTAATGAAAACGTTGCCATTTTAAGTATTAAAAACACTCCTCACGCTTGCGGCCACCACTAGAGTTCTGTGTGCCATACAGTGCTGTCATCTCTGTCACGCGTTCACAAAGAGTGCACACGTATATTAAAGTAAACCGCATTTGTCTATCTGCTCCCAGTCCTGAGAAAAAAAAATTGGAGACCTTAGAACTTGAACGCCCCTCGTATTTGCCTCCAACAGCAAACGCTAGTTGCACAATATGGATCCATATTGGGACAGCTAACTTTAATAACTTAGGTTATAAATCATAGAAAATGCCTGATGTTGACCTAAATCATAGGTTGAAACATGTAGCAACAAATTCATGCTTATATTTAGTAAGTAAGACATTTCAAGATCCATTTTTGTTTTCACCCAAAGATATTTTATTGTTGTGTTGATGGTAATAACCATAACAGATCATAGCTGTGCATATGTATATGTGCACTAACTCATGACATGTGGTATACATACTAGAAATTTTTCTACCGAACACAGCATTCAACATAAAATTATTTGCATCAGTGCTAGCATCTTAATTCACAACTTCTGTTACCTGTACATTATATTGTGCTTTATTTTGCAGTTTATATTAATATCACATTTAACAAATGCCCTGGACCCCATTCTATGATACAGTTAATTCCATGCTAGTGCACACAAAAAATCTGACACCAGTAACGTTAGCCAATGTACATTATTTAGTACAGAGTTGATAATAAATATACAAAATGCGTGAAGATGGCCTTTACAACCAAAACATGTATCTCATCAAAATATGTAATTGATATTATATATTGTGTTGTTGGACCTACCCATAAATATGTATCCAACCCAACATTCCACTCTGATACGACATAATGTTTCATACAGGTGTCCTTCAGAAGTGGGTGCAGGTCAGTATGAGGTGCAGCCGCTGGACAACAGTTCATTGCCAAGTATCAACTCTGGCTTGAGTGGAGAGCTGGCTCAGTCATGCACGCATGCCCACACTGTCAGTCGTTGGATATTAGCTACACTGGGATGTGTGTGTTCACTGCAATTGGTTGCAGTGGCCGTATTGCTCAGGAAGGTGTGTGTCCTTCGCAAGAGGCCTCGAATCAGGAAACGGATCATTGTCAACAAGAACGTGACACCACTAACCAGTTGTCCCCCTTTGCCTCAAGACCAGTGTGAAATCACAATTGAGAACTGCTGTAACATGAATATTTGTGAGACGGTGAGTATTGCTTACATTTACATGAATGCTGACTGCAGTTCTAGCTATTTGTGCATTTGCTGCAGTTACAGCCATCTCTTATGAGTAAACCTTAGACCATGCAGTATCTTGTAATCATTCACCATCTTCATTTTTCACAGTTTCTTTGTAAATTGACTTATGGACTTATTTTGACTTGATCAGCTATCTTCAGTGCTACTTCGATCATAGTTTGTAACCATTATGGCATCCGTGGTTAGTCATATATTGTAATATGATGGCCAAAGGCTGGAATAGTTTAACAAGGAAAGTCGTCTGTTGTTAGGCAGTGACTTGTAAACACGTTTTTGCACCAACCAAAACACTCTCCCTGTTAACAATACAGGGTTGTCACTAGGCAAAAGCCCACTTAACATGTCGCTCAAGGGTAGAAGAATTCTTGGAAGCAATGTTTTCTGTGCAGCCAGTGCTGATGTTATATAACAAGGACACCCGCTTAATTAATAGTTACTGTCCAACAGCTCTGGGAGACACTTTTGAAGGCTCCTAGAGCTGTTAGCAAAATTAGGTCATGGGTCCTGTTGGACACAGAGCCAAGAATCACTGTGCTGGCAAGGACCAGCAGCAGTTTAGCAGTCAGCCAGTCAGTCAGTAGTCAGTCAATAGTCCAGTCATGGGTCAGAGGTCACTGGTTGGAAGCTGTAGGTCAGAGTCAGCTTGAGTCTTGGGTTGCACTGTTAGATGCCATTACCAAGCAATGGCTGTTGAAGACATAGTGAATGTATGCAGTAGTGATTTATAGAGTATGTATATCAGTGAAGGTGTTATAATTATTTGTAGTTAACACCACTTGTTCAGTAACTTTAATTGTCAATCACAACCCTGTGTTGTGTCAGTAACATCTGACAATATCATGTACTCCTCTTCTATGTGAAGTTTACCTTTTGTTCATTGTAAGTTCAGAAAGTAAATTATGTTGTTTTTATTCGTAGTTATTAATTTATATTTTGTCCTGTTATTAAATTTGTATGTATAATATTGTTGTAAGGCATCCATGTGTCCACACATAAGCATTATCTGATGCACTAGGCAGTGAAGATGGCTGTCAAACCAAAACACACACCAGATAGTGAATTTATAGAGAAATTGTTATGCATCAAATTTGATGGTTATGATGGATTCACCTGCCATCAGAAAGTTGTTTAATATACAGTGGTTACTGTCTCTGATGTCACAAAGAACACATGCTTTCTGGAGGCACTCAGATGTATTAAAATGATTTTACAAATTTCTGCTAGAGGTAGGGAAGAGTCCTGATTAATGGCTGTAAGATAACTGATTAAAAAAAATAGCTTAAATGCAGTAATAAAATGGGAGCTGCCATAATAATTGTAGTTTAGTTGCCTTTTTAGTTGATCAGTTATGAAATGTTCACATATTTTATTTATTAGCTAGTCAAAGTGCATGATTGTACAACTGTTATCATTCAGTACTCAGAATGAAAAGCTAACTTAAAAGTATTATATGCATTTATTATGTTTATTGTTTTTTGTTATTTATTACAATACAAAGTTTCTTGCTGCTTATTTGGTTCTTTGTTGCCTGATTTGTAAATTTCATGTTTATTATTAGTTTACTAATGATTTGTGTTGCATTTTTTGAGACCAAGTGGGCTATTATTAACCTTTAACTTGATTATTAATTGGTCATGTTATTAATTTTGAATATATTATTGACTAACATTTTAACTGCTTAACGGTCCTAATGAAAGTAAATATAATTCCATAATGTGGTTTCTCTCATGTCACAGAACACATTTTGGGAATACAGCAGGGTGCACAAATTTGTTTGGTAATGATTCCATGTTAAAATTTATTTCCATCTATGCATCTCTCTTTACTCCTGTAGCTTCCACTTGGAGCATAGGGCATCTGTGAAATGCTTTGTTTCATTTCATTTTCTTAATTCTAGACAGTTGGTAGGACAATGCAAACACAGAATATTTGCAGAAAAACATCCATGCATTGAGTGGGATTCAAACCCACGGTCCCAGTGTTCAAGCAAGTGAAGACGTTACATGGCTTAGACTGCACGTCCACTGTGATTGGCTAAGTGCATTTAAGTACAGACTTAAAATAAACTGCAGTGTATAGGTAAATGAAGTTCATTCAGTATAGCAGTTGATGTAGGCTTTATGGCCAAGTAATTAGGGTTAAATTCCTGAGGAGTCAGAGACTTTTCTCTGCATCCTCCAGGACCATCCATCCACCTGTTCGCTGGGTATTTGGGGCTCTTCCCCTGGTGTAAAGCAGCTGGAGCATGCAGCTGACTGCTCATGTGTGTGTAATGTTGAGGTTAAGAGGACTATACTATACCTTCACCCCCATATTTTTAATGGCATGGAGCTTAATTAAGCATAGGGGCACAGTTACTTACATGAAATGTTTGCCATAAGTGAAATAATAAAATATATGATTTAAAGCCTTGTTCTTTCCCACTTTCTATGGCCAGTCTTTAGGAGATGTTTGGAGAGAGAATTTGGAACAAAATGTAAATAAACTTTTTGTTGAGTTGTGACTTTCCACCTTTCATACTGCCCTTTCATGTACACAATAAATTATTTATATTTAAGGTCTTTATATATTATTTTTAATTATAATGAATGAAAAGAAAATATTCCATACTTATTAATTCTTTTGATTTTAAATTTTACATTACATTTATCACAGATGTAATGGGGACTCCCATACACTTCTGTGCGTTTCTTCACAAGGAGTCGACAGAATTGCCTCTTCCAGCTTGCATACACACTTCCCATTGGTGTCCATTGGACTACTTGATGTGAACCAGTTGTCTGGGTTGGTCCCTGATACCTGTTGTAGCTGCCAGGATGTGTTCAGTCACATCATTGTGGTCTTTAAATATTTTCTCTATGCATCCCCATAAAAAAAATTAAGTTCCAGCTCTTGACATTGTGAAGGGTCCAACACACACACACACACACACACGGAAAAAAAACTCTGTGAGAAAGATAATAAAAATCAAGGTTAGAAGTCTGAACTGGAGAGAAATCAAGGTAACTTTGTTTATGTTCTTTGCTCCAAGTCACCTGTTCAGTAACGTCTAAAGTTTGGCCGTAGGACTTTGACTCAGTCTGTATTATGTCATAAGACTGGGCTGAACAAGTGGTTTAATGCGGTTATTCTTGGTCTCTTTGTTGCTGCAGAACTGTTTTATGATGATCTCCACATAACCTTCGTGATAAATTTTATTAGCATTGACGCTGGATATTGTTTGAGAATATTGCCTTTCAGCATGAGCAAAATGTGGTATTGCTTGATGGTGAAGACAGTAGCAGGGAATACAGAGTTTGTGAAGATTGTTCAACAATCTGAATGCACTAACGTATATCCGAAAACTTCCTCTTTCATATAAAATAGGGATGCACAGCCCTTTTTCTGGCGAAGGTCAACATTACCTGATTTCATGGGTGGACTACATAGACATATTTTTTTATTGTGATATAACCAAATTATGATTCTTGATGTTTACAAGGGATACAAGAATTTTGTGTGGAAATTATTTTCATTTAATATTGTTGTAGAGAAAGTATGACTAGTGATTGATATAGAACAAGCTAAATACAAGGGTTGGAATTTTAATAGTGGCAACTATTTATTTACAACTGATACAAAATAGATGCATGTTTCGAAGTTTTACTGTCCCTCAATGTAGTCACCAGCATTGTGTACAACCGGTTGCCAGCAAGGATACCTTTAGCAGCGCCTGTTGTGTTGATAGTTCGAATGGAGCGGTCTGCTGTCTGAAGAATCTCTGGGACAGTTCTGAAGTGAATGCCATGAAGTGGTTCCTTCATCTTAGGAATCAAGTCAAAGTCACAAGGGCTTAAGTATGGTAGTATGGTGGATGGTACAGCACTTGCCAGCCCCATCGATTGAACAAATCGGCCACAGCTTGCCATTTCTGCATTTCCGTCAAATCATGTGAAACCCATTGTGATGCAATTTTTCTCATGCCCAGGCGTTCCTTCAGAATGTGAAGCACAGTCGTATGCACGAATCCTGTCTCTTGGGCCAGCTCACGAAACGTTTGGCGTTGAGCACTCTCCAGTAAGCCGAAAAGAGCATACACTTCTTTTTCACTAACACTAGGACGACCTGGCCGACACATGTCTGCCACATTTTGGCGTCCCTCGTCGAAGGCTTTTACCCACCTTGCCGCTGTTCTCTAAGGCAATGCAGATTCCCCGCAAGCCTCTTGAAGACCTTTATGACACTGTCATGCTGTACGGCCTCTGGCACATTCAATCTTTATCCAACTGCGCTGTTCCTGTTTCGGAAACATCGTGACAACAATATGTTAGACCACCAGCTAACATGAGGCTCTGTTCATCTCATCACTGCGCATGCACATGATGTGGGAAGGGAGAGTCCATTTGCACTGAGGTAAGGTAGGTATGTAACTAATGTGTGGTATAAGCGACATTATTTGGTTCCATTGCATGGCATCTCTACAGCATTGTTGCCACTATTAACGCTCCAACCCTCATATATTCATATATTTTTAATGGCATTTGGGGTGGTGTTGGTGCCCCACATTTATGACTCTGGAATCCATGTTACCCCTCTCAGGCTTAAATGTCCACTCTGTTAACACATTGCGGACCGGTGGTTTAACATTTAAATCACCCTGGGGACCGGCGTTTTTAAACCTACTACCCTAACTTGTGCACTGTTCACTTTAAAAATTAATATAAAATCTCCTAATTAATTTTATGAACTGAAATTTTTGGAGAACACTTACCAGAGCTCCTAGAAGTGCTTGTGCATGTGATATCTCTGGAAACATTCC